CTATCTTTTAAGTATATATAATAAATTTAATATTTTGTGAAATGGTTATAATTACTTGTAAACAAATAGATATAAATATTTATTTATGGTTATATCGTGGACAAGCGATAATATATTTAGCAACTAACTATATATAGTATGTGTGGAAAAATGATTTGATGCATCAATCACGCGAATAGCTGTCTGTCTTTGTCAATTATGTTTACTTTGATTTGATTCGTTGGCTTCTTCAATTCTTTTGGTTTAATTAATTAATTATATATATAGGTTGAATTACATTAGTACAATATTTAATTTTGCTCAATATATTTGGTAAATTTCATTTTCCCTTTCCCCTTTCTGCCTACAATCAAACTGCGTACAGGATAATGGCACCTTTTGATTAGCCTAAAAAGGTAAAAATTAGGCCCCATTCATTTGGCCGCACTTGTATGAGTAAAAATTATTTTTAAACTACCACTTAAGTTATTAATTTCATAGAATGGAGAAGATAAATTACACTATTACTATTTTGTTATAGTTAATTAACAGAATTAATTAATATTTCATCCTTTTCTTAGTCCTTTTGTTCGTTTTTTTATGTTTTTTGGTACTGTATACTATCACTATTTATACATATTTGAAGGATCGAGGTATTTGAATATATATAACTCAATATGTACTAAGAAAATCTACTTGTTCTCTGATGAAGAGGGACAAACACGTGTTATATCTTCGAATCAATCTACTACTATTAATTAGTTATAATTAAGTAATATATTTACGTAGAAAATGTATATCATATATTTATAATTATACACGCGCGTATATATATATATATATCACATATTTAAGCATCTTTTCTTAAAATGTTAAGGAATTTTCCTTTAGTCACGAGTTGGAGATAACACATGCTAAACCACTGCAATAAATTAAATGTTTAGGATTGAGTAATTTTGTAAATTTTAATTTATAGTAAAAGTTAATCAACAGTACAAATGATGTATGTTAGACTTACCAAATAAAACTCGACTATTTTGGTAATATATATTCTAATAATAATTGTACAACTCTATAATATATTTTCCCTTTTCACCATGTGAGAGCTGACATATTATAAATTAATATGTATCACTTTTTCTTACGTACATTTTCATCTATAAATATGTCAATTATCATCATTAAATAATTAAAAGTCTTTGAGGGTGCAGTACGATTTTCTGCCTTATATAAAATATTTTGGAAGGTTTTACTGTATATATCGGCCATTATTCAATATATATATATATATACACGATCTATTGTCGTTATACCAAAAATAAATAATAATACAACTGGTCGTACAGATACATTGTCATACAATATATCAAGTTAATTAGACAATGATTGTCTTTATTATACATCATTAATCAACCGTGAACCAAGCTTAATTAAAGCCAACTTTATAGAAATGTTATTAGGAAATGGTGGTTAGGGTTGAGCGTAATAATTTTAATTCAGATTATCTATTTATTTGTATTTCGAATCTAAAAATAATATATACTCATAATATCAAAAAATGAGCTTTAGCGGCAATTAATTAGCAGTTGCCGTTAAATATTATTTTTAGCGATAATTAAAACTATTCTTTAACGACATTGAATCTAATAACACTTAACTAATGCCGATAAAAAATTAGCTCTCTTTATTAATATAACTATATATTACCGCTAAAATTATTTTTATTATAATGACATACCTACTATTCACTAAGCAAAAAAAGTTCCAATCTAAAATACATAAATTTAAAAATTTTAAATTTTGCCTCGAAATTTAGATATTGGAGTAAACTATACTTGTCTACCATTTTATTCTTTTCACCAAACTCATTAGGTCATTCATAACTACAAAGAAAGTGAAAGATAAAAAGTCATTTTATGATTTGTCAAGATAAAAAGTATTATATTTAGATTAATGATGTAATAATTAGATATTCTTTTTAACTTCAAAGTTCACTTCGTAAAAAAATATAAAAATAAAATAACGTACGATAAATTTTTATAAATAGAATATTTTATGGTACACCAAACTGCCGTTTAATTTATTAATATACATTTTTTTTTGTCAATGACATGAAGTTACTGCTTCATCCATAAACTCATTCCATTCTAGAAAGGGGAATATAAATTGAAAGTAAATTCCAGCACGTGAAGATTCAGTAACTTAATTCTAATTCTTACCGTTAATAAAAAGAATGTACAAATTTCTAGCATAATATACACTATATTTATTGTTACAACAACTATCATATCTGACAACATCATTATATTTAAATTAAAAAAAATATTTTTTTAAAATAAATTAAAAAATAAGTAAGACAAACAAATTAATTATTTAATTTCTATTTTTAACCACATATTTAAATAGAAATATGAATTTACATAAATTGAGACTAAAGAATAAATGTTTAAGTAATTTAATTTTCACATGTGTCATATTTTTCCTATAAAAATGTTGGGTTCATATGAATCAGAATTTTTTTTATTTTTATAAGTTAATCAACATACATGCAGCAACTTCTTAAAGAAAAAATGTTAAATAAATATTTAAACGGAATACGTAAATTATGAAAAGATGCCAAAATCAGAAACATACATTTAATCATTATGGTTGCACGTCTGTAATCATATATAAATGATCGACCTTATTATATTATAAGGTTGGACAATGGAAGGAAGAAACAATATCAATCATAAAGAAATTAAAATTATTAGAATATGAAGATAGAAAATATATCAAGTAGTGGCTTGGGAGAAAACACATAATATAATATATAATAATGCCACAAAATAGTGACAAATTCCGAATTTGACAACTCAATCTTCTAATAATACCAAAAAATAGTAGTAAAAGATATTACATGGTTGAGACAAACTAAAATCTTGAACGTTAAAATCTTTGAACAACTTGCATATGAAATGACAGATGTACTTCTTTGTTTCTAAATTACTATTCTAAACACAATATTTTCATGGTTTTAATTTATTTTTCTTTTTAATTTAAGTTAAAAAAATATCTTTTCATTTTTTTAAAACTACGAAATTAAAGGACTGTATGACACATTTTACATATCTTTAATTTAAGATCATAAATTATATATTTTTTTTGTTAAGTCAATATTTGATGAATAAATTATAAACGGATTGAATGATTTTAAAAAACAAAACAAAGAAGCCTATGGTTCAAATAGAGGCCAAATATATTAAGAGAACCGATTACGATGTGTGAAAATATGCCGACGGAAGAGAGATTATTAGAACGAAGAGATTACAATAAAAGACTTTTCTATTTCTCTAAATTATTATTTTTTCAATAATTAAATGTTCACAATTATTAGAACATTTTTTCTTTGCACTTATTACTCTTTATTTTGGGGAAAAAAAAAAGCTCAAATGTGTTTTTTTCTTCAAAATTGTCCAAGATCAGACAACACCTTATTAATGAAAATTGCAATTAATTCGATCCATTACGAGATTGGCTCATCGGAACTATAATTATTTTTATATATATATTTTGATAAATAAGGTAAGAAGTATAACATAAAAGTTGTTGACGTGTTAAAAGATGTTACACTTAAGATTTAACTAGCTAGGTAGGTCCAAATTTATTTATAATGAAGGTGTTGCAGTCAAATAATATCTTTTACTAATCCTTTTTTTTGATATATCAATTGAATGGAAATTGACGATTGAGAAAATGCAGCAATTATTCCTTAATTGGAAGATATATATAAAGAAATAAAAAGAGTATGTATAGGTTATCGACAAAATCCACCAAATACGAACATTAATTAACTGGAACCAAAATAATTAGCACCCATTAATCCGTTTAATCATTGTAATTATGACACATGTATAGAAGTTTGGAATGTCATATATGTTGAACCAGTATATGCTGTAAAGAAGCCTGCTTCGTATATAATAATAAATAATAAGTATATTATTTAAAGACAAAACAGAATCAATAATATCTCAAATAATTAATTATAAGGAAGAAAAATTGCTTCCTAGCACATCATATAATGCCATAACAAGACAACTCAGCTAATAATACCAAACAAACAACAATATATGTCTCATAGTTGAGACAAAAATAGTTCTGACTAGTCTGCAATCAATTTTGCTTCATATAATAATGAAACATATTTCAAATAATATCCTATGAATAATATGTAATTGAAAAAAAAAACTTTTTGCTTCAAAATTCTACATTAACACATATCATTATGTTGATCAAATAAAAACCAAGGTTCGAAGAAAATTAGGTCCGCCGCCCTACATATCCATGCATGAACATGTGTAATTATTCTGTTTGAGATGCTACTGAAAAAATTGCAATTATTCTTTAAAAGATCTTGTTTTGTTTGACTTTTCTTAATATAATATATATATATTATTTATTATTCTATTTTTAGAATGAAGAATAACGTATATATAATATATTTTTATCATTGAGAATCCTTTACACATAAAAAGTTCAAAACAAGTAGTTAAGTACTTACTTTTGGTAGATAGAAGTTATTTGGTAAGAATTAATACTTCTGTGTTCAATAGAACTATTACATTTATATATTTTTCTTTTGCATAAACATTTCTGGAAAAAGTGTGTAACATGATTAATTGTTAGCATGAAAATTTAGACTTTCTGTTGACATGGTAAAAGATATCCCCAGACAAAGAATCAGCTATCATACTAATTTTGAACTTTGTATTCCTAAGAAAGGCAATCATACACTCTAGTATATAGTACTGAAACTAAATTGATGTTTGAGAAAGGAACAACCGTTGCATGACAAACCTATGTACTTCTCATGTAACTTTTGGCAATTTTCAACATATACCTTCCAGTGGTCCACTGGATATCAACAAAATTAAATGCAGCAACTTCACTTACCGTTACCCACATACACCGCTCAAATAATATGTACTCCTTTATTGTGTGTCCGTTAATCTGTTTTTTGTAGTCTTTATCAGAAAGGTGATGGTAATAATATGCTTTCATTAAATATCACTCTTCCAATTTTTACTCATCCTCTCTATTTTTGTTTACATTTGACATCCAAAACTAACTTTGAATAATTTGGCCCTTTTCAGGCAGCAAGACCGTCGAAGAAGCAGCTGCTGGACAACAAAACTACATTCAGAGTAATACCAGCAACTTGAGAAAGGAAAGATTAGGCAGCATTGAAATCCAACATGCAGCCGGAACTTTAAAACTATACTTAGAGCAGGTGATGTAGAACTAAAAAGTAACCAACAACTCAATAAAAAGTGAATAATAAGGTCACTAAAAGAATTCTAACTTTACACCTCCAAAACGAACAGCATTACGTACCATCGGACTTCCTCAGTCACCTACCTTATCTTCTGCAGCTCCAGCAAAGGAATAAAAGTTGAAAAAGAAAGAAAAAGGTTCAAGGAATGGACAAGATGCATGCAGAGGAAGGTAGCAAGTAAGCGAGTATATGCCTATTTCATATGAGCTGGATTATATCATGCATGGATGTGTGAACTTCCTGACGATTTCAACCTCAACTTCTCGAAGCAGCAAGTAGCCGCTGTTTCACCTTTTTCCTGCAGGCTTTCACAAAAAGTCATCAGAATCTAAGAATCCGAATGAGCTACTAGAAAGAACTCCAAGTACACCATAACACCTTGTCTCGAGCTGAAGTTTTCAGATCATACTTGGTCAAATACTCTTGAAAGTTCTCCAAGTGAGATCTCTATATTATTTTAACCTAACAACAAGGGCATTTAACATATAATTCCATTTGATATGATATACACATGCTAAAAGCACAATCCATTTACAGAGCTGGAGAAAATTCAAATGTTGCAAGACGATAATGAAAACCCTCATGTTCCAATACTAGAGTACTGGAGCATGTCACCCAACTGTCCCCCTCCCAAGAACGAAAAGTTTGTGAAACGAGATGACGAAACATCCACCTTGTACACTGTTTGTGGGATGTTCAAATATGTTACATATAGTAAGCGTCCTCTCACAAAAAAAATATACATCATTACATGGTTGACATAACTATACCAGAACACAAATTTCTAACTTAGTTATGATCTCAGCATGTCATGAGAGTGGACGAATACAAAAATTTAACTCGTAAAATACAAAGTTATATCGAATAACAAAACCATGCTCACCTATCTATAGCTTGTCAAGACCAATAAACCGAGACTTCTTGTTGGTGGTAATCAGATCATAAATCTTTAGCTTCTGAGGAATAAATAAAGACTTCTCAGGTGATCACTTGTAATATGCAGACCTGTTGACTACTTTCTAGCAGTTAGATCAATGCTGCTTGGAGAACAAAAGCCAGATGAATGAAAGAGAATATATACTGACAATTTGTGGATGCAAGAAAGCACCATCTCTTATATTGTGACTGGTCTTCTTTTTATGATAAATGATGTTTTGATTTGGTCATCTTATTTGAGTTTCACATCTCTTATGTGTACATACATCTTTGCCTATAGTACAATTTGTCCTCAAATGCTACACAAATACCATAAAGTAGATGACAGCAAGGATAGATGATAATCTGGATTTAAGCACGTAACATAGTTGTCCTCTAGCTTTGTACTATTTGACTACTGATTATGGTGATCTTGACAGGATTGGGCAAATGGACAGCCTGCCGATTAAAATAACTGAAATAGACTAACAATATTATGAACGACTGAAACTGTAAATACATTTTTTAGTTAGTCAACGGTCTACAGTACAGTAAAGGAAGAGTATGAAAGAAAGAAAGATGGCAGGTTCAGAATACTTGTGTGTTATTATTCTTTTCTCTTTGTTTTCTTTGGTGGGAGAGGGCAGAGAGCAAAGAAGGATGATGAACAGTACCTTTCCTAATTTCCACAAATAAATTAAATACTATCACTCCTCACACGAGGTGGCAAAAACGTGAGATGGTAAACAGCGTACCTGGCCCTTCATCACTTTCCTCTCCGAGAAGAAAAACATCCAAATCCTGGTCAGCAGTTGATGAGGCTGCCTTCTTGTTTGCCTGGGTTGTTGCCCCGGTCACTGGTTCAGAAGTTTTTCCTTCTGATGAAATATTCTTGGCGTCCTCGACATTTGCCTTTTCAGCAGATATTATTTTCTTTTCGTCCATGTATTTCTTTTCATACCTGCACCAAATGTAGTTGATTGAATAATGAAGCTAACAAGTAACAACCAGAGCGAAATCAAAGAAATGCATGTTCAACTATTTGTGACTAGGCTGGCCTACTTTTTAGTTCGTTCCAAAAGAAATGTAGCAATTTTTTTAATTTCAACTTTCCACATGACATGTTTAAGACCACAAGACTACTCGGTTTTTGGTATATTTGACATATCTTTAATTTAATACCACAAGATTCAAAAGTCTTCTTTGTTTTCATAAACTCTGTGCCAAGTCAAAATAGGTCAAACAAATTTTTACATAGGGGGTATATGATTTCCAATGGTGTAAAGAAGTTGCGCTCTTTACTGTAAATGCTTCTTCAGATTTGCAAGGAAATAGGAAGCTTCCATTAAAATCATCATTCACAGAGTTAAATTCACTGTGCATCCTCAATAATACTGCTATCTTCTTATAAATTTTCCTACTTCATCACTGAACTAACAGGAAAAATCTGCACATGCAGATATATGATCAAATTTTATGAAACTAATAGGAAGTATTAGCTCAGCACACACAATTTGACAGTTCTATAGAAATGAGAAAGATCAGAAAGCTGTAATCTGTAAATGACCAGCCCAGTTCATATATCTGTTTCAATGATTGAAGGTCTAACAATAGCTATATTCTCTTAAATACTTGACAAAAACTCATCTTATAATCCTGACCAAATGATATTACAGCAGCATTTTTATACAAAGTCTTTACCCAAAAATTACAGAACAACGCACAAAATAGATATTTAATTATCGGTTCATGTTATTGCAATATATTCCAGCAATACAAAATAAGCAACACATTCAAGGAAGAAGAGATTATTTTTCCAGAAAGATACTTACGGTGCTAAATGACTGTTAACTAGAATGAAGTAGATTCTCCAAAACTTTTTCTCTCTCATTATGCGTGGGCATATCTCATACCTCAACTTTGAGATTTCCTGCACATAAAGAAATAAAGGGAAACGAACATGTAAATGCTGTTAGTTGACTTAGATCTACTAACTGCCAAATTCATCTTTATCAGAACAACATAATTCTCAACAGCTTGATCCCTGTCAACTATCCCTCAAATCAAAAAGGTTATAATGGGAAAAACAGAAAGAGAGCTAGAACTATTTGAAAAAGTATATTAACTCTTCCACCGAGCAGGTCCAGTGAAACACAGTAACCTTCATCACAATTTTTGAAATGTAACTTTTATCATTGAAAGGGCACAGCCCTCAACACAACTATGATCTACATTGATGTAACAAGTCAGATTTAGCACTAGGAACAGCAAAAATATGACCAACACTAGTTATTGAAACTCAATAGACCATAAGAGAAGTGACAGTCAAGATGCCTTATTATTTAACCTCGATTAAGCACCATTAAGTAATATAAGAAACTAGAGATCTTTTCTATGCCAACTTTGACCAGGTAATGACAATGAGAGTCATACCTTGACAGATGAAAGAACAAGTTTCGCATGTTTTTCCTGAAACTCTGTAAGATCCTGCCTAATGTTTGCGACTGTAGGAATATCAGACATCTCTGACTCATCTGCATACCGATAGACGTTATAGTTAAGCCAGTATCTTCTCATATGGATGACTCCAGAGATCGAAAGAAGGTGCACATAATTTAACAAGGAAATGAAAATTGGTGAACAGTTATCCACACTCGGTGTTTGTTCCAACCAATGAAGCATGACACATGTTTTCACACATGCTTTTATTACTAAAGCATCGTAAATTCATACGAATTCTCACCTTAACTTATGACTTAACCTTGGTAAATCAGTATGTATAGAGTCAACACATTGTGGAAAGTTTTTTAGCAAGAAAATTCAGTAACTAATTACATCTTCATTTTGTTCTGATTGCTTATGGAATAGCCGCTTATGAAAAGCTTCTTGAGCTTCAAAAAATGTGTCCAAAATTAAAGTACTCCCCCCACCCCTTCCACCGTGATCACGAAAATAGTTGGTAATTGAGAGATCGCTGACGGCTAGATCTGATTTCTTCCAATTTGCAGTTTAAGCACAATAAAATGAATAAACATCCAAATAAACAATAACAATCTGCAAACACGAAAACTCACTACAGGTTTGCAGATTAAGCACAACACAAAATGAATAAACTTACAAATTAAACGATAACAATCTGCTAATAGGACAATGTACTACATTTTTATCCAGAGATGCTGGTAGCAATGCATGCATTAGAATGAGCACGCGACAGAGAGAGAAAGCGAGAAAGCGAGCAGAACAAGTACCTTGAAGTTGAACATTCTGGAATGTATCCCTAGTGATGCCCTTAACGAACTCTCTCAAGTCGTCAGTGACTCCAAACTTTTCAAGATCAGCCGGCGTAGTAATAGCCGAAGCAGTTTGAGGAGAAGTTGAGGAATCGACAAGGCTAGAGAGTGCAGCGGCAGCGGGAATTTGAAACTTGATCTGATCGGCGCGTTTAGAAGCTTCGGCAACGATCTCCTTAGAACGCTTAGAAGCTTGGGCGGCAATCTCCTTTGAACGCTTGGAAGCCTCTGAAACGATGTCGGACAACTTAGCGGAGCCAATACTGAGCTCCTGTGTACGCTTAGCAGCTTCTACGGTGAACTCCTGTGATCGCTTAGCAGCTTCCTCCGCGAAGCTCCGTGCCTTTAGCCACAAATCCATTAAAGAACTATTTGGAAGTATGAGAAAAATAGTGAATGAATAAAATGGAATTTACCGATATTCATTTTGCTATATCTATTAAATTCAGGGTACCCAAATAATAAGGAATGATAGCCAGAAGTGAAGTCTACGATATTGCGGTGGAAGCGTGTAACAAGGTGCAGCTATGAAAGAGAATTGACTTGGAAATAAATTTATGAAATTTTCATAAAATTTTAATCTGCATACCCTTATTTAAGACTGGACAACCGATCTGAGCGGGGTTATCAAAACAGAACGGGATGAGTTGATCGATTCGTTGACGGATATCAGGATGAACCGCATCGGAATTATCGAAACGAATATGACTATCCGTCCCGTCCCACTATATAGCCGAATAGAATCGAAATGAACGAGATGGGATAAACCGGATGACACACCTAGTTATTCCTAAAAATAATTCTTTTTAATAACAAAAATATGGTTTTTTTTTAATTTTTCTAAGTTCAAATTAATAGGTTTTAAATTTATAATGTAATTTTTTACTTGAGTTTAACTTAAAGATATTTTTGTAAAAATATTTACTTATTAAGTTTACAAGTTAAGTCTAATTAAGTCTAATTAAGTTTTTAAGATTTAAATCTTTTGAAGTTTATAAGTTATTATTTATTATTTATTAATATGTTATAATTTATAAGTTATAATTATAACTTGTAATTTAAATAAATTAAAATTTGTAATTTTAAAAAATTAAATAAAAATAAGGATAATAGGGGGGTGGTTGTATTTATTATTCAATATAAAATATAAATTATACTTTATAAATATATAATATAAATTAATTAATAAACTTTAATTAATTGGAACTGAAACCAAATCGGACCAGAACGAATCGCAATCAGAATAAATCGAGATAAACTGGAATCGGTATATCGGTATCAAACCTCGATTCCGTTCCGTTCCGTTCTGTGTTCCGGTTCAAGATGTCCCGTTCCATGGCAACCGAACGGAACAAACTGGAATGAATCGAAACGGTACCGGATCGAACCAAGTACATCCCGTGTCGATTGCATAGTTTTCTACTATATTTGACCTTTTTTCATTCTTATTAATAAATTTAATAATTTTATCGCAAATTGAAATATTGTATCACGTATTGAAAAAGTCCTATTAATCTGATAGATATAAACGATATTGATTACCTTCACCTGATAGTGTTAGTTGTCATACTGCTTAGATGAATTTTCGTAGTTATAAATAAATAACAATAAAACAAAAATAGAAGCTAGAAGGACACTGCTTGAAAACAAAGCTGCGCATTGCCTTAGTGGTTAAGTCGTTCAAACTTTCTCAGCCTCATTTTTCTTACTCTTACACTTTCATTAGCTCACTTATTAAATAGTGACATGACTTATGAAAAATCCTATAAATGTCACTGGTTAAAACTACCTATGAGTTTATTCTATCAAGAGAAAGAACAATCCCGACAAACTTTGAGTTAATTAATAATTATATTCTGAATCTTCAGTGCAGTGATTTATCTAACATGGAGGTTTATCTGCACAATAACTATGACTACGCAATCAAAAAGTTTGAAACCTGTTACTTTGAGTTGTAAACATCTTTTCTGAATGAAATCACAATTGATTGCTAAATGTCCACAGTAATATTTCAACATGTATAATGTATGGTCTAATACACCAAGAAGAGGGAATATGATGGACAAGTAGAAGAAACGGCTATACAACTCCGGAAACTAAATAAATCAAAAATTGCAGCAACCAAAGCACGTTCTCCAGTGACAACTTCGCCTTTGAAACTCTCTCTTATCGTCTGCCACCATCTTGACAGGGCTGCCGGGCCACTCTGAGGTTAGTCTGTATGATAAAGAGTTAAACCTCGGTAAAAATATGAGATTGAGGTCAAGTGTGAAGAATAGTTTAGCAGAAAAACTTACATAGGAAAGGCAAAAGATTTTGTGCTGTTGGTGCTACTCGAGCGTATAGAGATGTTATCATGACATTGCTTTGTTGCTAAGACAACAAGATTCATGTCTTCACCATCTGTAAGCTTTTCAGTGTTCTGATCTGCAAACAATGACGCTAAACTTCTTGGCACTCCATCTCCAGTACTGGTGCTGTTTTCAACCTTTGTATTTGCTGATCCTTCTCTAGAAATTGAATCTGCTATACTACTTTTGTTACAACATGCTACCTTGGAGACAAACTTAGACGTCATCGAGACTAGTTTCAGCTCTTGATCCTATAAAAAGAGGTAACAGCATATGAAACAGAACAAGTCAGGATTCAGGAACTGTGAAGTATAAAGAGAATACCTGATTTTCTTTTTGATCAACCAATTCTCTGTCCAAACTCGGCTGTTTTGGAACATCGCGGCTGTAGGAAATGGCATCAGCAATCTCAGTATCCGATTTACCTTCCATCAACAGATTTTTTGAGTCGTCAAACTTCTTAACAATACCCTCGTACGATTCAGAAACTCTGTTCCCTAATTCTGCCCTGTTGTCAAGCTCATACTTGAGCATGTAATAAATATTATGGTGGTTCAACTCACAATTTTCCAAAGAACATTGTTCTCCTTCCATATATATGTCCTTAAAAACTTGATGGTTGCTGTCTTGAAGATAAACAACTAATTCGGGTAGTTTGCACTCCATATAATTCAGAGTTTACATTGCATCTATCTCTCTGCAGTGAATTAAAAAACTGTTATGTTCTAGCGTAACAGCATTTAATTACATGAAAGAACTACAGCACCATACATAAAGAAAAGCTTGAATCATATTGAATAAGTTGAGGGAAGACTGAGCTCATCACAAGGCACCAAAATTACAGAAAAAAGCTCATTGTAACGCGAAAGTCACCAACTCTTTTGTGATATTTCAAGATAACTTTAGGCATAAAAGGTTCAAATTTTATTGCTTCATATGCTTCTTTTCCTGAATGGACATGACAATGACAAGCAACGTTTACTCGGAAAAGAAAATCAGTCACGAAACATCAGCATATGTCTACAGGAAGATCAGAGTCTTACTTACACTCATCCGAGAATCCATCTTATATACCAAAAACTAAAAGGAAAACAAGCTAAAATCTGACTTCAGAGTCATGGAACATCAGCTTATGTCTACATGACGATAGATGAATGTTTGATTTGAGTATTAGCTTCGAGAATATTGCAAATATAACAAGTAAATAAGAAAAAGTGTGGTTAATATACAATTTAAGTCATATGAAGTTCAGTTAAGAGATTAGCAGCCAACAAGAAGCAAGGAGTTGATCGAAAGGAGAACACTAATGAGTCAAAATCAGCTAAGAAAAATTATCATTTCTTCGTCTTGATTTTGTTTGAAAATGGTGAATATTAGTTAACAAACTAATTTCATGTTATTGCATAGATCATAGGAGACATACCATGAGGGCTTATGCTATATCAACATCACCAGAAAATGACATACATCTTCATGGAAAAAAATAATCTGCACATAAATAAATAACACTAAATCCAAACATTTGCTACCACCAAGAAGTCAAGAATGGAAGTAATAAAGATTACAAAAAAAAGAAAAGCATGGAGAAGTAGAAAAATATGATACCAAACAACAAACCAAACCAGTGAAAGGGGAGAACCAACTACTAAGGCAGAGTAGATGACCTTAATTAATCCTTATATTACAAGGTCTCAACTGTTTCTTATTTTATGCCATTTTATTAAAGGCACATTATTAGATTGAAAACTTCACAATGATCAAAATACTCATGTAGCAGTTGCAGCAGATATATAATTGCTCTCCCTGTCAGCTTACGTGCACCTCAACTAATTACACAGGATACTTATCACCAACAGACTACGACAAATGGAAAGAAGTTAAATCACCTAATGTTTTTTTGTCTGTTAGGATTTGAATGTAAGACCTCGTAGCTCTCGATCAACTACCACTAGTGCCACGCCCTTGGTGTGTTGCATATATATGCCTCTGGAGTTACCCAGAAATGATGGTTCAACAATCGTTGATTATTCACAACTACATCTCCTAATACAATAAATATTCATGACAACAACAAATAAATTACTTAAACAAGGAAAATGAAGATTTGAATAAACGAAGAAAAATACCTTTTTTAATCAACAACTGATAGCAGCCTGCAAACAAGCCATATACATATACAGAAATTCGAAAATTGGTGGAGAAGATAACACAAAAAAAAATCACTTTGTTATTATCAATTTCATATATTAGGAAAAAAGAAGGTGGATTTATAGGGAAATCCATACTCTCTTATTTGGTATTACAATTAATGCAATTTGTTATTAAAATCAAATTAATGGTTTACGTTTAAGTTTTGTGTCAATAAGAAATTAATCCTTCACTTGCACTTTTTGGACAATTCTTTGCGTGGGGAATGCTTAAATTAATTAGCCGACGATAGCAGTTTTTGTTAGTTAGAAGTAGTGCAAACCTTTTTAATCATAGAATTGATATTTCATACTAATTGACTCTCTAAAATATGAAATTATAGTTTGTAGGGGTCCTTAATTTGGTATCGCGTACTAGGGACAACATAATTAGGTCATTTTATTTGTAAAATAATTGTTTATAATTTTATCTAAAATATCTTCATTTTGATATTTGAATTGAACAAATATATATATAAAAGACGAGGGTTAACTCATATAGACCTCCTCAATTATTTCATGTTTTGTCAGATTTTCTAAGAGAAAGTATTTCACCCTTGGAAGGAATAATGTCATATTAGATGATTACTGAAATTGTATATTAAATATTTGAGATGACTCAAAATGATATATAGTAGGAAGAATTAAGTGCGTGGTTGTTTTAGATTTAAGCTAATAATAAAAAATATTTTGCATCAGTGATATATTACAATTACATTTAATTAATATTTTTATTTTTTTGAGGTCTCGAAATTGTTATAAATATAATATATCTACACAAGTTTAATTCACTTTCATCAGCAAGAGTTTGTAGTTTAATAAGAAATTTCGAGTTTTAGTTTTTCTGAATATGAAGTCACCTTTGTTAGAGAGTGTTTCACTTTCAAGGTTAAATTTCTCGATACGACTGAAGAATTAGTCGTACTTTGATGTAAAAAATCACTTTCATTTCTTATAACCAAAAATTGCATCGTATCCCAAGCAACTTTTTATCCTAATCATAGACTTCCAAGTATATTTATTAAATCTAAAGTTGGGAACTTCTAGTAATGTAGCAGCTAAGATAGGTACAAGTAGAACTTACTACATTAATAAGCCGTCGAGAATAAATCACTGAAATATTACTCGAAAAATTATCCTTAAATACCTATAGAATTATTAAATATTTTGATAAAAATGATTGAGTTGATTGAGTAAGTAATTTTTAAAATAAAATATTTTATTTTTGCAAATGAGTTTGTGATTTTTTGAAATGATTTACTTTTGATTTTCGAGTAACGATTGTCATTTTTTTAATTCATTAATAACAACATGTCAACAAGTTTTGCAAAATATCTATTTACAAAAATATGCTAATTCTTCATTTTTCTTTTCTAAAGGCGCAGGCCGGCAAATAGATAGAAAGATTAAAGCGTAATTCGCTAGAAATTGATGGGTATTTTAGTAAATTAATCCTTTCTTTTTGGTTGTAACGTCCCTTAAAGCATATTGAAATGAAATTATTTTCGAAAAGCCAAAAAAAATAAATTAGTGAATATTTCCTTTTATAAAGTCTAAGAAGAACCAAAAGCATTTCAAATTTCAATATTCTCAGAAATCGACAAATCCGACAATGTATGAGCCTCAGCAGTTGCTAGATTTGCAGGACAACAATGGCGGTTTCGGTGCCGGAGCTGACTCCAGTTCTTGGCTTTCCGGCGAGGACCGCTCTCCTACACTCCGGCGAACTGATTCTTCTCTCTCTAATTCGGCTGCCGGAACTGTTGACCGTACCCTCTTTAATGACCTCGTCCAGATCGTCCCTCTTGTTCAATCTCTCATTGTAATCCTTTTTTTTCCTTTCTGGGTCTGCTTTTTCAGTTTGGTTATCTGGTGTATTATGTTGAATTTCTAAAATTACAGAATGAGTAAAGTTTTGCTTGTCCCGAGTTGTTTTTTTGATCTTGAAGTGGGTGTGGATTTGAAATTTTATTCATGTGATTTTACAGGATCGAAAGGCGAAGTCGTCATTTACTAGAAGGGGATCAATGACCTACACTAAAACGCCTTCAAGGGAGTCTCTTTACAAGAAGGTAATTCCCTCTCCCACTTTCCCCTAGTGGGCATATTTTTAGTCTAAAATCTAGAAATGATGATTTAATTTCAACTTGCTTGCAGTTTTTCGAGGGTAAATTTCGTTTTTTTAATGGTTTGTATATATATATAGGGAGAGATAGATAGATAGAAGCAACAATTAATAAACCCCAGTTCCCTGGAAACTTTTCCTATAACATTATGTTTATTCAATGCTTTACCTTCCTGGCACCATTTTTCATAGGATATAGAAATTGCAGCCTTTTATAGATAGCATTGGGAGGTTCAAGTAAGTCCGGGTGGACTGAATTTTGACTTACCTTGGACTGAAATTGCAAAGAGATGTTAACTTGAAAGTTTATGGTTATTGTATGCATAAATCAACTTTCAGGTTGCTCATAGCGTCATACCAGAAAAAAAATAGTAAGAACTTCATCCATTTTTCACAGAATGCTTCAAATTCTATACTGAGCACATTTTGTGAAGTATTTTTCCTTTATTGACATCTTTTCAGTAGCTTTCTAAGTTAAAAGTAGGATGCAGTTTGCTTTAGATATTCAAATATTGTTAAGAGTACTTTTACCAAACTATTTTCCAGGTTGACAGCAATATAGACCCAGATTTATTATCGAATACATGGAACCTTTTGTATTATGGTCTCCAGCTCTCTCAGTGTGATGGACTCCTTGACAGTCAAAGTTTGCGTTCTACAGAATATCTTTTATTTGGGCCCATTTTTTGTCTTTTTGTATGTCTCTGTGTAAGCAAGTGAGATATCAGAACTTCTACACTTGCCAGGCATGGGGTATTCTTGGATCTTAATCTATCCCAATTTTAGCTTTGTCCTCATACTGAAGGCTAATACGGTGTTTGGATGATCCCACTTTATGAGAAATAAGTTTTTTTGTTGGAAGGTCCCTCAAACTGAAAGAAAGATCGAGATGAAGTACTAGAGGTGTGGGTGTTACAGTATTGCCACTTTGCAATCAGTGCAAAAGAATCTCTTCCAAAGTACCTCACAGTCAATTGCAAACAATCTAGACAGGAAACATATATCTGATACAGTTCTTAGAAGTCATAAGATTAGTTTTTGACTAAAGATTTATGTTCATCTGAAGTCTAATTTGTCATATCTTGATGGAGAAAATCTGTTGGGAGACAGAAGACATCTCAGTCAAGCAAATCATAGAAAGTTCAATAAAGTAACTAGAATCGGATTGTTACTTATGCAATTCCTTACAATCCCTCTGAAAGTTGCATTTCGCACTTTTATTTAATATATTTATGAAATTGTAGCAAGTAAAACACTTTTTCTTTCTAGCAACTAGTCTTTTTTGTACAACCATAGTGTCTGGACCAACTTGTTGGCACCTCGACTAATTCTACAGGATACCTATCACCTCCACTAATTCTACAGGATACCTATCACCTCCACCAGTAACAATACCAGGTAACTCTATCCACCAAGGCTACTACAGATGGGAAGAACTCACCTAGTTTTTTTGTTTTTGGCATTTGAAAATGAGACCTCAGTTCTCAACCCACTTCATTGACCTATAAGCCACCTGCACCGTGTGCTCTATCAACTAGTATCTTCGTACTAAGAAAGTAAATTATTATACATTTATGTAGGGTGCTTGTTTTCTAGATACAGTGTATGAGGTTCTTTTTGAATGCTAATTATGCATAGAAGTCAGTTTTTCGTGCAGGTATTTGCCTGTATTCATCATTGGTGTTTAATCTTTCATTGGTGTTCAATCTTTCAAGTGGTTGTCTTGGAGATGCTTTTGGTCTTGCTTGTTTATTTATGCCAGATTTTTAGCTTGTCCTGACTACTACGATGGATGATTAAATTGTTAGTGGTCATCCATTTTTGGATGAAATTAGGGTATGGTTAAAAGATGGAAAGTTTGAGGCTTGAAAACAAGGTTCAAAATGCTAGTTACCATTGCAATGGAAATGTGAATGTTACCAGTGCATGGAAAAAAATAAGAATATAAACCTTCTTGGAATTTCACTTGCATTGATTTAGTGGATAATTACTATTTGTGTGGAACGATAATGCCAGGCATCCTTCAGATTCGTGCATGCGCACAAATCAAATTTGCTTCCTCTAAACAAACTAAATTAGAGTTTGCATCAAAAGGATTTAATATCTTACTCTATAAATGCCTTTAATGTACCAGTTCCCTTCTCCAGCTCCATTTCTTCTCTCAGGTTGTAGGTCAAGCCATTCCATCAACTTGCTACAATAAATAACAAGTCAAATTTGTTTCAGCTGAAACTGATCAAAATGATGCTCCTATAGGCATTGCAGTTGGATTTGTTGTGTATGTGAAGTAACTTCTCATTGCTTGCATATTCTTCTTTGAATTAACCTCTCATCGCTTGCATATCTCTTGATTGCAAACTAGCATTGGTTTGTTTTGGTCCATTACATGTGCTAACGTTGACAACTGCTGCAGACTTCTGAAACAAAGGGAAAGAATGCAGCTCAATCAAACAAAAAACATAGGGACCAAAATAAAAATGTTGGTGCTGACCAAGATGGATGCTCTGATAACATTTCAATGCCTTCCTCAAGGTCGTATTTATCAGAAAAAGATAGAGAAGAATTGATGGCTTTGAGGGGGCAAGTGGAGGATTTGCAAAAGAAATTATTGGAGAAAGATGAACTTTTGAAGGAAGTAGAGATCTCAAAGAATGAAATGGCTTCTATTTATGCTAAACTAGATGAAATGAAGAAGGAATATGCAGAAAAGGAGTCTTTACTTAAATTGACTCAAGTGCAACTATCTGATGCAAAGGTAATATTTGATGTCATTCTGCACCCTCTCCAACCCCAATCACAAAATAGAAAGGGGAGATGCGAGTTTTTCTAGAAAGCCATTGTGTGGCTTCAGTTAAATGTCTCTCAGTTACTCTTTAGCCAATTAGCTCAAGTTTGGTCCTGTGTTATACAGTAGCTATATAATCATATCCATACTTTTCTGTTCAGTATCGAAGCAGATGCCAACTAGAAGTTTCAAGCTAAATATGTGATGGTTAATTTTCCAGAGGTGTTCATTTTCACATTACTGCACCTTTAGACTGACTCCTACTACTAGATCACCACTTAGATTGTGCTCAGATTTCCACTTGTCTCCATAATTTGATGGGTGAATCCACTTGTTGTCTTCTTTTTTGCTCTTCTTAGGTTAAGCTAGCTGACAAGCAAGCAGCTGTGGAGAAGTTAGAATGGGAAGCTACGACTTCCAGCAAGAAAGTGGAGAAACTACAGGAAGATTTAGAGGTGGTGCGGCAAGAAATCGCATGGTTCATGCAGTTTGTACAACAATTGACAAAGAATGATTCTAGGACTTTAGCTGAAGATTATGATGTTATCCCTTACTTATGCGACAAGAACATTGAAACGGTAAGCTAATGACTGCCTTCACCTGGTTTCTTGCATGTTGTGGTAACATAATTGAGGATGTGATATATTTTATCTTTTCAGCTTTTTATGTTGCATTGTAATTTCTCAGATTTTTTTTTGTACAGGATCAGCCAAATGAACTAGGAATGGAGGAAGTAGAGCTGGCAAGAGAAGCTTATATTGCAGCAGTTGCTGCTGCTAAAGAAAATCAAGATGAAGCATCTTTCTCCGAAGCTGCCAAAGCAAGATTATATCTGCAGTCACTTGTTCTAAGAACATAAACATGGATTCTAATAGGGAAATTGTCCACTATAAGTTTGTATTACTATGCAAATGATGTTGTTTAAATAATTGATGGTGACAGTAAATTCCTCAAGCATTATAAATAGTTAGTAATGTGCTGTGTTCTGAACAGTGTTGTTGAATCCCACTTTTTTCCTTCTTTATAGTTTACCTTCCCATTTTACATTGGTGTATGCAATTCAATTCTCTCTCATTTTACTCAATTTTGTTGCTGGAAATAAGTACAACACGCTTAACAAGGAAAAAAATTGTTGATTAACGAAAGAACAAAGTATTTTAAAGAGCTTGATGAATCCAGTAAGAACAGTTCATATGGGGACAAGGGGAAGAACAAGTGTCAAAATTTGCAACAGTGATGACGCACGCTGCACCAAGCCTTATGCTTCCCAAAACGTGGCCCACCTTCTTCTTCTTCTTCGTCTTCATCATCTTCTTCAGGTTTTGGCATTTGAGCTGGACTGCCCATCAATTCCCAGCCCAATCTGCAATTTTGGCGAAATACCGTTTACTTATTATTCTGCTAAAACAAATCAAATCATATTGATGCTAGTTAAATAAGAGATGAAGAAATGACGATACTTACACAGGGAAGGCAAAGGAACCAGTGCTACCAGTGGAGTAATTAGAATCACTTGATTCCGCAGATGGAGTTGTTTTGCTATCACTAACTTCACCTATGTGACTGATCTCTTTAACAACAGCCGGTGGCCATTCATCTTCCATATCATCAATTCCTTTTCCCTGGTCCTGCCAATAATATGTAACAATTTCTGAATTCTAAAAGACGGAGTAGACGATAAGTGAGAATACTGTTGATAACAAAACCACAAATACATAGATAACGTGTGCATTCAGATTGGACTTACCTTATCGTCTATAACGGGGATTTGTTCTTCAGCTGATTCAAAGCTATTTTCTCCATCTACACTGATCGTGTCGTTTTTACTCTGAGGAAGAAACTCTGATACATCCTCTACATATTTAAGCTGTTTTTCAACAACCAAACCAGAAATATTTTGATCACATTGAGAGTATTAATATTTTCATCACACACGAAAAAGGTGAACTGAAGAAAGATTCATTACCTTCCTACAAACAGATTTTGAAGTAACGTTAGCATGATCAATTTTCTGGTGAAATACCTCCGATTTTCTATCTTCCACAATGTGTATTCCTCCATCGTCTTCAAAGCAAAACACTATATAATCCTCTTCTGAGAATCGAGGCCAGCTCGAGTCATTTTCTCCTTCCTTTTCACCTTTCTCTGCTGAAACTTTCACTTTTTCTTTTTTCCTCTGTTCCATTTTCTTATTCAACTTCTTCTTTCTATTCTTCCTACTATCACCAATCGGATCAAACACCATTTTCCTACTCGGTTTCTGAGGTGTCATTGCACAAAGCTTATTCGATTCTTCCTCTACAAATATACTAATACATCAACTATAGTACTAACATAAAAAAAAAATACAACACTCTATGAAAAAACAAATAAAATTACCTAAAGGGAACCTGCAAGCGTAGAAACAAGATACCCAATCTCTAATTCGCCATCTAACAAGCTTGGTTACTGTATATGGACTGCTCATTCTTATTCAATTAACAACAGAGAAATACAAGGGAAGTTTGATTTTTTTTTATTTTTTATTTTTTGGCTTGAAGAGAGGAAAAAGGAGAATGTTAAGGAGAGGGAGTCATGGGATTTTTTGAATTTGAAAAGAAGAATTAAAGGAGGAAGAGATGGAAGCATGAGAATTACAGTTGTATATACAACTACTAGTATCCCATAATAATGACGGTTATAATTTCTTATAACATGCTAATTATTGACGGTAAAATGTGGAGATATATATATATGGCAACTTCTCCACATTCACTTTTTTTTTTTTATGATTTATTTATATTTAAAGTTATTATTAATTAACGCGATAGAATATACCCTTATAACAATAGAATCCGAATACGAAAAATAAAATTGATAAAATGGTGTGCTTTTAATGCTACACGTGCTGTCGTTTTTGGATCACCATATTCTCGTGAAGGTGTTGAGTTTCACTTCTTTCAAAAGTTTAAACTCTGTATGTGCTTTTGTTTTTTATTTTCATGAAGTCTATTGATATATTTATAAATTTTTATTTTGTGTTATAATGTGTAAATGGTATGTGCATAGAAGACTGTAAAGTCTACTTAGGTAACCATTTATTCACACGGAAGTAAATATAATTTTAACATCAAATTAATTTCTTCTACTGATATGCTATTTAATTTTTTTTAATCAATGCTATAATTTCTAATTTTATATGACCGCATATTTATCTTGACATTTAAATTTTTGTGCATTTATTTTGTAGATATATTAAATTTTAGCAACTCAATATTCATTTTGAGCGTCATTATTAATCTTATAATTGTTTCCTAGAACTTACATATATTTTTTAGTAATTCCTTCGTCACATATCACCCTTATAACAGTTCTTCATTTGCCCATAAGGGCATCGTTAAGTGGTTTCGAGGTGGGTAGACTCGTATAAAAGATCTGAGATCGAATCCAACCTCAACCTACTTTTTAGGCATGAGTTGATGACATAAAACTTGTCTAGTGTGCAGTTGGTCGCATAAAACTTGTCTAGTGTGGAGTTGTTCGTATAGAACTTGTCTGATTTCATAAAACTTGCCTAGTGTGGAGTTGGTCGTATAACACTTGTCTAGTTTGATTTACATCTCATGTGTGAGATTATTCGGAGTTTCAAAAAGAAAAAAACAATTCTCCATTTAGGGTGTTTTTGGTGCAAATAATTTTTTTTTAAATGTTTGTTTGGGCAAAATATTATGAATTCTTTTTCTAGAAAAACGAGTTTCATAAATAACAATTCAAGTTAATTATCCTTTCCCCACCCTCTCGACGCGGCCAACACCCAACCCTTGTTCTTTTCGTACCCCTCTCCCCTTCAGATTCAATCTATATCATACAACATTTTTTCTAGATTATATATAAATATTATTATATTAATATTATAATTACTTATATATATAAAAATAAATTAAAAATCCACTTAATTATTTTTCAAAAAAGAAAATTCTTTAAAAAAAAACATTTTCCTTTGCACCAAATATTCCCTTTAATTCATTAAGTTTTGACTTTATAAACAACATTTTCCATCTACTATTATATCTTGGGAATAATAAGCTTAATTATATTTTAATTATTTGCATTACGAATTAGCATAATCTCATTTAGTAAAAAACAAAGAAAGTATAAGACAAGATATATATAAAATATCAGACAACAGATATATATGAGAAAATTATATAAAATAACAAGTTATATTTTAAATTAAATGGTATATAATCATATTTTTATTAATTACAATCCGTCAAACACTTGTCATTTATCTCTCTCTCTAAAAAATTTCGCTCGTCACTCTACTTCGACTCTCTCACTTATACAAACACAAATGTATAAATTGCGTTTGTGTTTATATAAAGTGATTGTGTTTGTGTTTATATAAAGTGATTGTATTTGTGTTTGTATAAAGTGAGAAAAAACTGTATATACAAATATAAATACGTATATTTTCGTCCTATACATTTATAATTATACAAATACAAATCTTTTTCTACCAGTTTTTTTGGGGATAATTGTATAGAATGACAAACGAATAATATAAAATAAATATAGTAGCTGCCGCTTGATTTATTTGTGTTCCGTAGCAAACTGTTTGTCAGTCCCTCTCTCCCTCGTATTCTCGCTTGTCACTCTCCCTCTCTCGCTCGCCTCTCTCGCTTCCTGTCACTCGTCTCTCGCTTTATTCAATAGAACTGTATAAATTGTGTTTCTAATTGTATAAAGCGAGAGAAATTGTATATACACATGCAAATACATATATTTTTGTCATATACAGTTATAATTATTAAATAGAAGCACTCCCCCGCCCAAGTCTCTTTTGCCTTTCTCTCTTTTTCGTTTTATGCAAATTTAAATTATATATAATTTCTCTCTTTCTCGTTTTATACAATTCGATTCAATTGTATATTCCCTGCCCAAGTCTCTTTTGCTTTTCTCTCTTTCACATTTTATACAAATTCAAATTGTATATAATCGTTCCATACACTTATAATTATACAATTTGTTTTATACACTTTGTTTTATACAATTCTCTGCCAAGACTCTTTCTCTTTCTCGTTTTATACACTTCGTTTTATACAATTCGCTTCAATTGTATATATATATATAGCGAATTATACATATATGTTTGTTATGAAGTGAAATTATACAAACTTTGCTATGACATACAAATATGAATTTTATGTTTGCTTTGTGTGAAAGTTATTTTTTTTTTGCCTTTCTCTTTTCTCGCTTTATACAATCACAAATTATACAAATTAGAACGTATAATTTCTGTTATATAAAGCGAGAGAGACATTTGATATACAAATATATTATTTCGATTCAACTGTATACAAGTTCAAATTTTATGCAGATATACAAACACAACCATATATATATATACACACACATAGTAATTACATATGTACAATTATCTAACCAATTTACATATATAATTGCTACACTTTTATACAAACGAATGCCTACTTGCGATATATAAAAATATGATATTCCATGATAAATATAAAATTTATCATGAAATATAATCATACAAACTATAGCGACTATAACTGGTAAGCCTATAACATGCAAATATAATAGAAATAAAATTCCGTTCAGTTACAAAAGAAGATTATTATACTAAAATATAAAATTGAGAAGAGTTTAATTTTTTTTTTTAATGTTTTGCGAAACCTAAAATTTTAATTTTATTTTGTCAAAACACAATAAGGTTGCGTATCCTCCACGTCACTCTCCCCTCATAAACTTATAATTCCCCGCCAATATTAGGTTTTTGCTCCAACTTATAAATCCGACGAGAACCTTCGTAAAATAATTCAAATTAGGCAACCACCGGAGTATGGAAGAATCGGAGACGAGTATGGAAGTGCGTAGCTTAACGGGTGAATCCATTGTTCTCTCCATTTTGCCGGACAAAACCATTCAACAACTTAAGCAACTCCTCAAGAAAACATTCCAACCGGCTTCAATTTCCCCAAATTTTCACCTCTTTCTCAAGGCAATTTCTTACTCCTCTCATCTCTTCCATTTATTCTACAAATTTTACGAATCTTGTGTTGCTGTTTGATAATTTCTGTCAATGATGCAGGCATGTTTTTTTTTCTTTCTTGAATCCTTATCTCGTTTGTTTTTCTCGTTTCATATTCATATTTTGTGGTGTGTTTCTTTAGTCGGGGTGTCAAAATTGGGTTTAGAGTGTAAGATGAGTGATCATTCAGTTGAGAGTGGGGAGTTTCTTGTACTTGTTCTCTATACAAAGAAAGACGGACAACAGAACAAGAAAACTGAGACACCTGCAACTTCATCTGTCCCAGTTGATGATATCTGTCTACTATGATGTAGGCGTGTTTTACTATTTTGTTTTCTTGAAAGTTATGGTATAACCCCAAACCACAGACACTCTTTCTTGAAACCTTGCCTCATTTGTTTTTCTCCTTTCATATTCATAGTTTGTGCTATTTTCTTGATTCAGGGTGTCAAATTAGGTTTAGAGAGTAAGATAAGTGACCATTCAGTTGGGAGTGGGGAATTTCTTGTGCTTGTTCCTTATACAAAGAAAGACAGACAACAGAACGAGAAAACTGAGACACCTGCAAGTTCATCTGTCCCAGTTGGTGGCTCAACTCTGAAAGAAGCCGAGACAGCATGGTCTGACATGATGGAAGACTTGTCTTACTTGAGCAGCATATCTAGGAACGAAAATCAGGACGAAGTTCTTTTGGATGAAACACGTTATAGAGATTCTGATGGACAAAATTGCAGTGTTCCGATGAATTTTTCTTCACAGGTTAAGCGGAAGAGAAGCATCAAGGATGATAAGATGGAAGGACATGCAGATGAGCTAGTCCTTAGCATACTAAAATCATCTTCCAATGACATGGATGACGAGAAAGCTAAGATATTTGTTCAGGTTTTAGCGTCTATAAATTGTTTTACTGACCCAGATTCAGGCAACTGTTTGTGGGAGGAAGCCAACAGAAACGACAATGTATCTGATCCATGTTCGAGTGGTAGTGATTTGTGCAGGTGTCCGTCGTGGTTGAGGAGAATAAGAAAAATATTTTCTTTTTTAAACATCTATTCAGCATTTTTACAACTTCAGAAGGGACAAGTTACCTGTTCCAGTCTGAAGGGAGCACTTGATCGTCTCTGTCTGTTTGGATTTCTGGCTGGTGTCACAGACATCGAGCAACTTTCCCTATTTTGTCCTAAGGTACTTTGTTAACTTCTGGCTAGTTTAACAGTTTTCATCCCCTATCTACTTTGATATATTTCAACATTTTTATCAATTAGTTTCACATACTTTTGTCACTCTCTGACTTTGAGCTGTGGCATCACTCATTCGTTTTTGACAACGGATAATTGTCGGAGGGCCTTGCAGAAGTGCCTCTGGATGATCACAAGTATGTCACAGGGAGCTTACAACTGGAAAGGAAGTACTGTAATAATAAAGTCTGAACAGTTACTCAAGTTGAACTTGTGAACTTAGGAGGACCACCATAGTCAACAGAGTTTTGTTTACTCTTTCCAGAGTAGGGGTTTCTCTTTCTGGAGAACACCAGTGGCGCTAAAAGATATCTCACTTACCCTAGTTATATTTTGTTTAAGTGAATATACGATTTGATCTCAGTATCCTTTCTAGGAATTTACAAGCTTTTATATTCTTAATTTCGCTTATGCTTCTAATCATTTATCCCATTCAGTTCTTTTTATGTATCACCATATCCAAATTTTGAGGGGTGTTAGGTTGTCGTTTTCCCCACAATCTTTTGAAGCTATATTCTTTCCCTCCTGAATTTGCTAAATATGTTGATATGTTAGTTAGAAATGGCTTTGTTGTCCCCCTTCTTGCTACCGTAATTCAATGTTGAGGTCTGACCAGACCACTTATCAGGACTATGAACTTGTTTTTTCAAGCACTTATGCCTTATTTTCTTTTAGGTTGTAAACATTGTTGATGATGATACCGTGGATAAAAATTTCAAGGATGGTATTATTGTTTTCAGAAACTCAACAACAAAGGGAGAACAGAGTGCAAGTATGTTTAGTTCATGTTTAGCTCTTTGA